GGGGAGAATTCAACCGCATGCCGATTTTGTGGCGTCTTTAGCACATGTCATTCCAAGCGCTAACCACTAAATGGGCTAGTGAATGCAGCACAGGTTTGTTCCGAGCCCGATTGATGGCGTTTTTAGCGTCGATCTCTAATTGTCACGAATCACGGGCAAGAGTCTGATATAAATTCAAGTTTGACAGCTACTCATTTGTGTATATCATGTTTTGATTGATTCTTTGTGAAACAACCTGTGGTCAGAGAATTGAGACTCTAGCCCGCCATGCCAATCAAGAAACACAACCGACATTATGATCTCGTCATTCTGGGAGCGACAGGTATGGTTACAATTCACATATGTAGACCAACATCTAATCGACATCAAAGGCTATACAGGAGAACTCACTGCGAAGCATATCGCGGTAAATCTTCCGATGAATCTTAAATGGGCGGTAGCGGGTCGCTCGGAGGCAAAGCTCAAGCAGCTTGTGTCTGAATGCCAGACTCTCAAGCCTGACCGTACCCTTCCTGGTTCGTATTTTATCCAAGTCTGATGACTGCTCTGATTGGGGATGATATCAGAGATCGAAGTATGCAACGTCAACGACGAAGAGCTAGCAACATTGGCACGAAAGACTTTTTGCTTAATCACCACTCTTGGCCCATATTCCCGCTATGGCGAACACGCATTCAAGGCGTGTGCCGAAGCTGGCACGCATTACATAGATTGCACTGGTGAGGTCCCATTCACAATGACCATGATCCAGAAGTATGAGAATGCGGCAAAAGCATCTGGTGCATGGATGTTTCCTCAGAGCGGCCTTGAGTCTGCGCCATCTGACCTTCTCACTTTGACATTGGCGACCATCATACGATCCGAATTAGCTTCCCCGACAAGTGATGTTGTAGTAGACTTACACCGACTTGAGTAAGTATTATGAAATTAGTCGAATCGCGCGCTAATCATTTCATCAGCTCCACGCCGTCTGGTGGCACATTTGCATCATTTCTGACCATGTTCGAGACGTTTCCTGCAAGAGTCCTACTGGAGGCGTTGAAGCCGTATACCTTATCACCAAAGCCAAATAACCACCCTGGCCCAAAGAAATCGTTCCTGGGATCTGTCACAGGTGTGCATCGGATCCCTGGCCTCGGACTACTGTCAACAAGCCCTACTGGCGCCATGAACGCGGCTCTTGTTTGCCGAAGCTGGGGTCTGATGCAGCAAGAAGACGGTCTCCCGAAGGACTTATATGGCCCGAACTTCACATATCAGGAGTTCATGAAAGCCCCAAATGCTCTAGTAGGCCTAATGCTGCATTACACGCTGATGACAACAGCTCCACTCCTACTGCTTCCACCGGCTAGGGCACTGATACGGAAGCTCACCTTCAAACCAGGAGATGGCCCCGACAAGGAAAAATCCAAGAAAGACATCATTGAGTTCCGAGCAGTTGCCAAGCCTGATGCTTCAACGGACACTAACAAACAGGCTTTTGGTCGCCTTGCATACACAGGGAGCATGTACTACCGTGAGTGATTTTAGCCTCTTGTTCTCATGTTTGATTAACAACTAACAGACCTTCCAGTAACTGCTCTGATTCTTGCTCAGGGAGCCGCGACAATCTTGCAGGATGATTCGGTCAAGTTGACAGGAGGTATCTACACTCCAGCATGCCTCGGACAGGGGTTCATAGATCGTATTGTAGGTGCGGGTGTAAACCTGGAGACGGAGATTCGAGAAATCTGAGCTTGAGTAGCGTACACACTTCTCATTCATTGTTTAGTCCGCATAGTGAAGATTAAGCTTATATACCCCCTGTGGCGGTCTCGAAAGTCCTTTAGGATTCAGATCCTTGCTCATCATGCAAGCGCGAGGGGCAAATGAGGGTGCACACCACACCACGGGTTCTTGTAACATGATCTCTTTTTAGGAAGAAAATGTCTAGTTTTCTCTGTGAACATGACAAGACATACGCTGCTATTAGGATCACTTTCGAATTATTGTGTTATATTGACTTTCTTTTGTTCATTTGGACTGTGACTTGATGTAACTCTCGGTAGTTGCTGGACGGGCGCGGCAGTGTTGTCTTCACAGCCACAATGGCGCACAATTAGCGCCATGTTCCTTGTAATCTGAAACACCTAGCAGGCGCGACTGCCTAAATTAGCTATTTCAACATGCTGTCTTTCAACTTTCATCAACCGACCTCTTTAGAATATTTTCGTGTCCCTCAATAACTTAGGCATGAATTACAGTCATACGAGGCGAATCTTGCTCCATAGCACAGTGGGAATATGAATCGCTGGTAGAATGGGGTGGTCATCGCAAGGATGGCGTCGAGCAGCTATCCTCAACACGATAGGCGTCTTCATCTTCGCCGCTTTGTCCATTGGCCTATTATCGTGGAGCAGCTCTCAATCTGGAGGTGTCGAGGCCAACTTCATCTTCTTCAAAGGCGCCTGTAAGACTGCGAATAGCTTGAACTTGTGGCTACATCTGCTGCTCAATGTGTTCTCCACAGGCGTTCTGGCTTCGTCCAATTTCTTCATGCAGGTGCTCAGCTCGCCATCTCGGAGCGAGGTCGATACCGCACATAGGAAGAACGTTGCCATGGAGATTGGGGTTCCCTCATTCAAGAACCTCTTTCATGTGTCGAGTTTCAAGATGATTGCCTGGCTTCTCTTCTTTGGTAGCTCGATTCCCATTCATCTCTTCTTCAACAGCGCCATCTTTTCTACAGAGTATCAGGGAGCTGCTTGGAATCTCACTATTGCGTCGGAGGATTTTGTCAATGGCGCCCAATACTACCCGCCCGGCGCCATGTTGTGGCCGGCAGGTGGATTCGAATCCGTTGATCGTGATAGGGGAGATGAAGGCTATGGAAACGTGGAAACCATGGATTCATACTTCGACTCTGCCTCAGCAATCTCAAAAAGCATCTCATTCGCAGCCCAGTCAGCTCACACATGGAAACGTATCGAAGTACCCGAATGTCTGTCACAGTACCAATATTGTTCTGCACGGGCGGAGTATGGTGATGTTGTGATGGTCGTTCGTTCTCGCGATCTCGACGCTGGTTACATGGTGTCCCAGAACAACTCTCAGGGCTGGACACGAGACAGTGTGATTGCTTCTATGACTGCATCAGAAGAGCTCTTTTGGGATGCACATGTACCAGCTGCAAAGATCAATTCTCTATGGTTTGCCGCGAACTGCAGTACAACATCCGACCTTAATCCTCGGACACATCGAGCCGAGGGGTGTTTTCAGACTTGCAATAGTGCTTATGGCCAAAAGAATTCGGGCTTCGGCTTTCTTTCTGCCGACAAGATTCCCGAGGATTATACGTTCGATTTCTTTCTAAACCTGGCGTTGAGTAGCGACGATGACCTGCATTGGCCGGGCGTTATAAATCCCGATGCATCAATGCTCAACTTGGAATATTGCCTGGCTCAGGAGATTCATCCAGACTGCAAAGTCGGACTTGCCAACAAGCTGCTGCTGATCGTCATTGTCTGCGTCGGGATCAAAACTCTTCTGTGTATAGGAGTTGTCATACTGCTGCCTCGTGAGGACCCGCTAGTTGTTCCGGGTGACGCTATTGCCTCCTTCATTACCTCTTCAGATGAAAAGACTAGAGGCTGGTCTACGCTCGATCGATCACTTGTCCGAAAAGCCTTCTCATCCGGTCGCCAGATTGTGACATCACAACCACGAGAATGGCAGCAGCGGAGTCGACGATGGTTCAAGGCCATTCCTCGGGCAGTGTGGATCACTGATTATCTCCTATTTGCTGCGGTAATCATCTTTCTTGGGGCCATGTATGGGGCTGCACAGAGCTCGAATCCCATCGGTACTAGGTCAGCTCTTATTGAACCGAATTTTCACTCTCTTGCTAACCAGCAACAGTAAGCAGAGCTTGGAGCATAGCGCCAACAATGGCATTCTCAACACACAAGGCTCCACTGCCGGCCAGCTTCTGCCCTCCGTTCTCACGGCTAATTTGCCTCAACTACTCTTATCATTCTCGTATTTCGTGTACAATTCGCTGTATACTCGGTTGTGTGTTGAGAAGGAGTGGGACTCGTACAGTCTTGCCTATCGCACGCTACGTGTCACATCCCCAAAAGGCCAACAGCGATCAACATATCGACTTCAGCTACCATATCGATACAGCATTCCTCTGATAGTGATCAGCATATTGCTGCATTGGCTGGTTTCAAATGCGCTCTATGTATTTATCCTCGAAGGCGGTAAGTGAATTGTTGACCTGCAAAGCTATCGTAAATATCTAATGACACTTGTTAAGGCTATTATTGGGTGGACCTTAGCTGGAGTCAAGCCTATCACAAAGATGTATCACTTGGCGTAGGGACTGGTCTCAGTGACGACGCCTATGTTGGCATTGGCTATTCGACGATGTCTCTCCTTGTCCTGCTTGTTATAGCATGCGTGCTGGCCACCGTTCCCATTTTACTCTGTATGAAGCACAAACGGGGATCGATGGTGGTGGGAGGCAGCAACTCTTTCGTAATATCTGCGGCTTGCCACATCCCGATTCTTGAGAAGCCCTTGGCTTTTTCATCATTATCGTTGGTAGGTGTTGACAGCAACCAAATAGTCGGATCCCGTGGACATGATTATGGATCTTATTCTCCGGCGTCGACGCCACAGGATTTCGAAATTGACAGTGTTGAGATGCAACAGCTCCTTAATTCAGGGAGAGATCTTGCATCATCTAAAACGCTTGACAAACAGAGCTCAGAGACAAGTCGCGATCGGGATATCGATGAGAGTGGGGTGGAGGATGTCTCTCAGGGTCCCTTACGGTGGGGAGCTGTGAAGATGCCTGTGCTGTTTTATCAGCAATATGCTGACATGGACGCACTGGTTGGTCATCTGAGCTTTGGTGCTAAGGAGCATCATGTTGAGGAGCCTAGAGCTGGACATTGGTACATATAAATCAATACGCCCCCATTTATCATACAACCCACAACGTGACTTTTCAACTGAGGTCTTACTTGCCTCGTCTAAAGTAACATCACAAATACTGGTTTCACCGTGATTGAAGCTCTATAGATTGCTAGGATGCAGAAGACCAGCATCGCTTCCAATCTTGCGAAAACCTTTGAGAGCGACGCTCACTGGTTTTGGCAGGTGCCACATAAAATGCATCGGGGTCTAGCATTTCTTGCGAAACACCCTGAAGATGCATGCAAGAAATTCTCTATTGATGTACAAAGGGCGCGAGCAAAGTGCATGAACGCCATTAAACCCATTAGATGGTGTTGAAAACACTAGGCTTAAGTCCGAGTGGGCCTGTTCGGTAGGGGTCAGCAATTTTTTCGGCCGCTGAATGATGGTTCTGAGCCGGTCCGCTACCTAACGTGCTGGGAATGTGATCCTTCGAGCAGTTTGCCTATGATGTTCTTCGGTCCCGTAGTCTCCGGGTTCCCGTCTAACGTTTGCTCACTGCCGCATTCTGGTACAACACAGCGTTGACGTCCACAGCTTCAAGACCCCATACATTATCATCAACTTCTGCCTCTAGCGTCAATATTTGGTTATCTTAACCAACTTCATTGCAATGGCTGAATCACCACTCTCGAATGGAGATCATTTCTTCGAGGCTGATGGTGTACGCTTTCACTATCTCGTCCGTGGTAATGGACCTCTCGTAATCGTCCAGTCAGTCGGCTGGGGCATGCCTGGAGCATTCATTTGGAACGACATGGGACCTCATCTCGAAGAGAAAAACACCACAATCTATTTTGAGCCACGGGGTAACGGCGAATCAAGTAGGCCTGCAGATTCAGCCACTATGACCGCGAAGAACATGGCCGAGGATTTAGAGCACTTGCGCAAGCACCTTGGGCTGGAATCTTTGCCGGTGCTACTAGGAGGCTCACATGCTGGCGCTATTTCTCTACGATATGCCGAGCGCTACCCATCGCGTGTTGCGAAGTTGGTCTTGGCTTCGACCCAGATAATGGATGGCCCGCCGAACACCAACACACAGGACTGGATAAAGAAGCGACAGGATGACCCTGCTTACGCTACCGCTGTAGCTAAGCTGCTCGAAATATTTGGCGGCGCCGCGCCGCAAACAGATGAAGAGTTTGGCAAGTCTATGGATATTCTTTTGCCGTGGTACTTCTCCAACACATCCAAGGCCGAAATCGTGCGCCAGGCGTTGCGTGGAACCCTCCCGAGCATCTACGCGTTTCAAACCAACATAAATGATGCAAAACCCGAGAATAGATTGCCTCATGTGAGCGAAGCTGGAAATATCGAAGCTAAGACTTTGATTCTCTTGGGTGATGAGGATCCCATGTGTAGTAAGGAAGCAGCCCATGCCATCGGAGCCGGCATTCGAAACTCGAAGCTGGTCATCGTTCCATCGGCGGGACATTTCTCTTGGATCGAGAATCCGACAGTCTTCTGGAACGAGTTCAATGCGTTCGTGAACGCTTAAATTGCTCTAATACGCCATCCTGAACAGATACAGGTAGTCTTATTGATAAATTTGATGTACATGTTTGCTCTATCCGAGGAGCTCGCGACCAACTTCACGTCGTGTATTCAGTGTTGACTTAACACTTTCTCAGTCCAAGTCCACAACTCTTTAGCCAGCTTCTCATCCCGTGCTGTTTTGTCTAATTTATCATTGCACATGATGCCAACCGGCACGTAGAATGCGCCATTGACCAGCTCGTTCTTCTTGGCACCCACTGCCGCCCATAATTGATTATGACAACCCTCTTCCGGTTTTAGAATCGGCACATTCATGAGCCAATTTGGAATGTATACCATCACTCTGTCTGCGAATTGCATATTGGTGACAAGTCCTGTCTCTACGACCCCAGGATGGATCGACACCGTAGTGATATTCGGGTATTGCCTTGCTAACTCGGCAGCATAGAGAATATTCGCGAGTTTAGATTGACTGCCACCAAACATCAGTACAGTGTGTTCCCATAATGGAGACTGGTGTATCAGTGTACGACTCTGCGCACCACCAAACAATGGATGGGAACTCCATACCCATAACGAAGCCATCGCCCGAATACGATATCCTGTGGAGTCCCAAGACTTGAGAAGACAATACCCTGTCTCGGATGGCCTCGATAACCCACAGAAGTAAGTATCACAACTCGGACATCGCTACCAGGACTCTCTGCGGTCTTCAACAAGGTTGGCAAAAGCTCGTGGATCAGCATAGCGTGTCCTAGGTGATTCGTCGCAAACTGAATTTCATATCCATCCTTGCTGACAGCCGGTGGAACACTCATTATCCCAGCATTGCAGATGAGCACATCGAGTCGATCATGGATGAATCTGGTGGCAATGGCATTCTTGACTGAAGCAAGAGAAGACAGGTCGATCTCGAGAAAGGTGAGGGAAGTGGACGGCGAGACGTGCTTCACGTCGGTGATTAGTGACTCTGCAGCCTTTCGGTTGCGGCCACTGAAGTAAATATGTGCTGGATTGTGTTTGGCGAGTGCTTCGACAGTCGCACGTCCAATTCCTGCAGTACCTTTAGGAGTAAATGTTAGCTCAACTTTCGCTCTCTGTCCTTGAATCAAGATGAACAACTCGTACCTCCTGTAACAAGAACGACCTTAGACCTCAGGGATGGTATGTCTATGTCGGGATTGAATTTTACGGAAGCCTTGCGACTCGGAAACATGATCGGAAACAGTGGGTTCAAGTTGCAATAGTAATGCGGCGGGTAATGCAATTCGCCCCTGTAAATAGGAAGAGGGGAGTACAAGATTCAGACCCTGAAAGAAGATTCATTCTGGCCTTCCAAGTCCTAATTTATATTCTCTGAGTGTCTTCGACCCCTTCCTCTAACCCCTACCGCTAAAGTGGCTTCAAAATAAGTTGCGAGCCAACGTAGACCCGCGGCACTATTGTTTCCCCCGATTGCCCCCATGATGTTGTCCTTTAAGTAACGGACAAGTCTGTTTAGCTAAAATGGGTGCAAAAGTAGGGCTGGTAAGTTTAATGAGACTTCATCGTAGGGCACCTGACACGCGTATCTTGCACGGCGCCTCGATGAAGGTATCAAGCCACATATGATAGGAGCCGCTAACTGAGCCGGAGCGATGACCAAAGGGGATTTTAGCGCGTAAGGCAGGTGCATAAGTGCCGTCCAGGCCGCCGAGGAATGCAGGCGCAGTGGGGCGGGAGGCTTGTTTGACATTTGCCCGCCGGAGTCGAGATGCGCAAAAAGTCTCCGGGATGGATGCTTAGCGACGCAGCAGGCTTCCGGTTCGACGCGGCTCCTCTGTCTCGCCAGGTCGGCTAGTGTCTAGCGCAATAAGGCGGTTGCATAAAGACGCAGGGTCCGCGACTCATGGATCCCACCCGGAATCACCTTATGCGACCTTCAACAACTTACACGACTTCAGCTCTACACACCAATTTCTCGACTCAAGTAAAGTCAAGCACGCCCTCGGAGGAAACGGGTAGGAAGCGGAATCTCCCGCTAATACGAATGGACCAACCACGAGAGGTATGCCGACCATTGAGCCCATCTCCCCCTTTGGTAGTCGCTAAAAGTGGATGGGAAACAGATTCGGGGAAAGAAGGACGATTGGACAGGCATAACGGACCCGGTAGAGCGCAAGAAACGGCAGAACCGTTTGCATCAGAGAGCTTGGCGTTTGCACCCGCCTTATCCAGAGACCATGACCACTATGAGCTAACTCATAGATAGGCAGGCGTAAAGCTATGCAAATGCAGCATGGCTCAGCACTGCAGATCTGGCCGCTCAATGCCGAAGGCAATAAAGCATCAACTGATGGAAGACAAGTCACGATGCTACAAGCACACCCCTTGCCAAAGAGCCCTCAATCGCTGCCAAGACTATCGGAGGTTTGGAGGCCGCCGTTCATCGATGTTGTACGAGACAGGCTTGTTTATTCTCGAGAGCAACTATTGCAACGGCATGAAGTCAACTTAGAGCTGATACTGCCAGTCATTCCTTACTTGACCGACAGCGTCTCGAATTTCACCATTCCGCCGTTCAGGTTCCCTATCTCGCCAGATCACCAACTTCTACCTCTCATACAATATAATGTTCTCAGAGCTATCATGACAAACATGTGTCTCATGTCTCTCCTTCACCATATACCTATAGAATGCGGAGCAGCCCTTGCGATCCCGCTAGTTTCGATTGACGTCCAAACCGTTCCACCGTGGCTACTTCCAACAAAGAAACAGCTATCCGTTCCGCATGATCCATGGATAGATACGTTTCCTGTCGCCGCCATGAGGGACAATCTGATCACATACCAAGACGAGCTTGATACGGACGATTTGTGCTGTGACGTCGTGGGCGGCTTGTATGAGGGTTATAATGACCTCGAAAAGAGAGGGCTCTTAGTTTGGAGTGACCCGTGGACGCCAGATGGTTGGGAGGTCACTGAGGGCTTTGTGGGGAAATGGGGTTTCTTGCTGAAAGGTTGCGACGATTTACTCCACGCTACAAATCGGTGGAGGACTATGAGAGGAGAGGACAGACTCATCTTTGAGGTATGATGGGCGGAATTAGGTATAGGCATGGAACTTAAGATCAAAGACCCCTTGCTTTAGTCATTGACTTAGTACTCGTATTGCCTTGACAACATGGAGTCAGCATTATGCGTCAGAACAAGACTGAGCTGTGTCACTCGTTAAAATTGAACTTTACTTCGAGCAAGACCTTGTCATCAACTCGATTTTAGTGAAAAGCTTAGCCTACGTTCTGACTACGAACATCTGACGTGCAACCGATTTGCACGTTTGTGATGTTCGAGATGAAGCCTCACTTTTCGAGGTACTGAATGAGTCAGTCTCCTTGGGCGGTGGTTAATTTTCAAGTTTCGTGGCTTTTCTTGCGTGTTCAAAAGTCATTGGCAAATACGGGAAACAAAAGTAATGCTTTGCATTGACGTGGCTATTCGCCAGAATGGCCTAAACGCTCCCTCTGACACCAGTCATAGTATTTCGGGTATAAATGTGTTCCTTATCCCTTTTCAACAGCTTCAAGTTAAAAGATTCGGCCATTGATAATTCTGTTAAAAATCTGACAAATGCAGCCGTAAATTGACGACAGCGCGTTGCTATAGTTCATCAACCAATCATGGCTACAAGCGACAAGTCTCTGCAAGATCGTGAGGTGCAGGCTGTCCGAAGTACACAAAAACTTGCAGACATAATTAATACTGAAGACTTCTTTGAGAGCAACTTTGAACGCGCATGCGACTTTCTGTCATTATGGAGAACGAATAAGCTAATTGCTGCCGTATGCTCGGAGCGTGAAAGCATGATATACAGACTAGATGCATGTCGTGAGCGAAAGTTCACCGCGAGTCTTAGTTGGACTGATCTGAATAATCTAACGAATGAGCAACTGTTTGTTGGTGAGCCGGCTTTGTACTGGGCAATACGAACAAACTCGGCAGACGTATTCAAGAAAGCCCTCCATGCATCGCAGATTCATTGTCCTCGTCTACTGCAAGGAGACCCGTTCTTTGTTGTACCCCGAAAAATTGACGGCAGTGTCAGCGTCATGAAAAGTCCTTTGCAACTCGCTGCAATTCACGGCCGATTGGACATGGTGCGTATCCTTGTTGAAGCAGGCGCGCAGCTTAATACTTGCTGGGAAGCAGCAGTTGGAAGACACAACGCGATGATTCATACGCACGAGGCAGAGGAATTCACTATGCCAGAAATACGGTTCGGCTGGTGTGGTATTAGATACAAATGCATGACAGCTCTGCATTTGGCAATCTGTGAGGGCCACGATGATGTTGCCAAATTTCTCTTGGATAAAGGGGCTAAACTCCAATCCCATCCTCGCGCACCGTCAGCTTTACACCTGGCAGCTCGTCATAAACGCGTTCAAATCGCGTTGTACATACTCAACCATGACGAGACCGGAGAGGCAAAGGATATGCTTACACTGACTAATCCGTCTCCATTGCATTATGCTTGTAAAGCACATTGTGATAACAACACAGAAATGATCGACATTCTTCTTGGAAATCATATCGAGCAAACGGGAATACGAGCAAATATCGATGCGCCGCAATCACAGCCGCATGATCGGTACACACCCCTAGACCTTACAGTACCCGTGTTTGACTGGTATGGGGTAGGCAAATTTCATTACGGGTGCATGACGAGGCGGCTTGCGCTTGCTGGCGCCGTCTCATGGATCCAACCCTCTCCGCATGCACGATCGGCATTGTATCGAGCAATCCATGCGAAATGGGCTAATCCACTTGAGATAGCTGAGGCAATGCTGAGAGGCGCAAAGCTTCATTTCAGTAAAGTTCAAGACAAGAGGCAAAGACTGCAAGAGAAAGCGATGTTTCGCAAAGAGCTCTTAACAACAATCAGCGCTATTAGACTACACCAAGAAACCGAGAGACCCTGGGACCCAAATGCCGCCGAAAGAAGTCCGGCATATGTTGTAGAACTAGTAAAGTTGATCCACTCAACGTGGTCCAAATTTCAACGGCCCGAATTCCTGCAGGATAAACTCCATGAAGCACGCCGTGCTTGCTCTGGAATCGACCGACCCCACGTTAAGGGGATGAGCTCAAGTTCCCCTCCAGAATCGACCTGCAACGAGCTGCCATACATGGCCAGTACACAAAACTTGAATCCCATTATCGCGGACTTTTCAGATACAGAGTATTTGGATGATCTAAGTGAATCATCTTCCTCTGAGTCCGATTCTGATGATTCCGAGGAAGATGGTGAGAGCGACGATGATGACTAAAACATGTAGTGGAAATAAGGAGATATAGCGGTCGTTAATTCACCAGTGGGCTTTTGTATTGTATTGTTGTAGGTTTCATGTTTTTCAGGTTAAGCTGAAGGTTTGCTAGGTCACTTAATGTCTCTCATTGCTTTTTACATTCTGTATTTTGGTACTGCTTTGATCTTTGAGCTTCGAAATGCTCCTAATCCTCTTTGGAAAACCACTGATGAGCCATACTCTAAATTGCAGAGACTAGTAATGAGATCTCATTAAGCAAGGACCGACAGGGGACTAACAGATAGCTTAGTGGCCTCCTTGTTCAACGCATCCACCTCACCCTGAGCCAGTGGGATGCCATGCTTCTCTCTTTCCAACTTAAGCAGTCTCTCCGGCTCGCCTGGGAAGTAGATTCTCTCAACACCTGCAGCTTTTTCGCCCCCAACCACTCGATCATATAGGTATTGCATTCTGTCCTTAAACTCGTCCAAACTCAAGAAGAGATCTGGTTTGATAGCCACAAGAAAATGCCCGACGTTGGCGATCCTCTCGGGCTCAGCAGGTCCTGTCACGTGTCCAGCAAAAGCAGAGCCTGAGAGCACACCAGCAAACACATCCATCATGAGCGCAAGTCCTGAGCCCTTGGGTCCGCCCAAAGGAAGTATGAATCCCTTCAGTGCAGCTGCAGGGTCGTCGGTAGGACGACCTTCCGAGTCTGCTGCCCATGTTGTTGGGATCTTTTCGCCTCGACGCATTGACTTATAGATCTTACCCCGAGCTGCAATCGAGGGCGCCATGTCAAGTATAAAACTTGAGGCGGAGTCCTTCCCTGGCGCGCCACATGCAATTGGAGAGACTCCAACACATTTAGTCTTGCCACCCCAGGGAGGCATAGCTGGACTAGAGTTCGTGAAAACAAGACTCATCATATCCGCATCAATCGCTTGTTGTACTAGCCATGCAGCCATTCCATAGTGGTTTGAATGCTTTATACTGGCCATTCCAATACCGTAGGTCTTTGCTGATGTGATAGCGGCGGTCATCCCAGCATGGGCAGCCACAAATCCCCAACCGTTATTTGCATCGACTTGCGTGGCTACTGGTGTTACCTGCGTGACGATCGGCTGTGCAGTAGGATCCAGAGCTCCCAGTTGAATTCGCTCAAGGTAAGATGGAATGCGGTTGATTCCGTGGGTATCAACTCCACGCAAGTCAGCAGCAACGAGACATCGGCCGACAACTGCTGCATTTTCGGCCGGAACATTGATTGCTTTCAAAATTTCCTCAGCAAGTCTCTGCGCCTCCGTGGGGTCAACCAAAACTCTGGCTGATTGATCACCGTTGGTTGCTGACATGTTGATTTTCTTTCAGGGCTAGAGTCTCTATCTCGCTAATCAGAAGTTAGTGTCATTGCTTCAGTCACTAGATGTGGATCTATATGATGGACGATCTGGAGGATCACGACTTACACTGATCGCTAATTCCTTCCCGGCGTGAATCTTAAGGACTGTTTCATGCAAGACACTGATTTGATTATCAAAATGATATGTACTCAAATGGAAATGCTGAATATTTGCCTAAGATTTAAATCTTCCTTAGTCGGGGTTTACCCGAGCACTAAACATTTCGTTGCGAGGTCACTGCCAATTTTTGAATTGCCTTACGCCTCAAGGCCGAAACTAGGTCGGGGTTTGACCGTAGCTTCATCCATCTCTTCTCCCTAAAAGGTAGCGCGCGCGAAGCAACTAGGTGCCAAAATTTCGCAAACAGATTAGAAGTGGTTCGCGCAATCCCAATGCTCTCTTCTGTAGCGGGCTAGCTGCCTCTGGTTTACTCGGAAGCTCGGGATTCACAACTGGAATTCGAGTCGGGACTTCTTCATGTTAAATTTTGGCCGGACTAATTTCGGGGTAAATGGGAACACTGTTCTGACCATAAACTAACAAATACGAGCATCAATGCTTGTGAACGGGCACACCTAGTTTTTGGAGAAACAATTACCATCTGAATTATTTATCCTCGCTGCCTTCATTCGGCGTCTGTAAACCACTTAACCGTAGAAAGCTTTTTGCCGAACACAAATGCTCGTCTTCGGGCGCAACCTCAAAATCGAACGGCACAGATCTTCCTTATACGGAAATTGTAAGTCTGAGTGACCCTAGGACTATTCGAGTCAGTGAGAACCTCACCCCAAACCCTTTGAGCACTTGAATGTGTCATTGATGCACCCAGGCCCTCCATACCAAGTCTGTTCTTTGCTAGCTTGATACTCCTCCAAAGCCGCTCGATTTTCGTGAAAGCTTAGAAGCGCAAATTCAAACCGTTTGCTTCTTTCAATTGGATCGGTGACTGATGGACCGCCTACGATTAATCGATTGTCTTTGACACAAGAAAGATTTTTGAGCTTCTTCAGCTCACGCACACAGTCTCTTTGTGCTGCTGAGTTACATCTTGCCGAAACTTGAAGAAAACTGAATGCCATTCAAAAACAATCAGCAACTTGGACAATTTTGACGTCACAGATGCTTTTGTGTACCCATGTGAATAAGCGTCATGGTTTACTTATCGAGTGTCGTCGATGGCGTGGCTACTAGAGATATCAAGCCTAGGTGAATGCGAGTGGTGCAAATGAATTCTTTGCAAATTATTAGTAAAACGTTGGTGATAGCCCGGAAAGAACTTCAGAGAAATCTTGGTGGATGTCACGAAGACCAACAAAATAATCAACAGTCAGAACAACGTCTTCGTACAAATGCATAGGATTGGGTTCATCCGGGCAGATGCCGATGATGGTCTCCACTCGGGCTAAGCCGTTATGGTGACCATGAAACTTCATCATCAAAGTGCCAACCCGGACAAGCTGTCTTGTAATATTGACATGTACTGGGCTGGATACGCATGTCGGCTTTCAGCCGAAACATGTCGATGCACCTGTAAATTAGCCGAACACCCTGGCGTTCGAACTAATTATGGTCTAGCAGAAAACAGGAACATACTCTGGAAGCAAAGATCATGTAGAGAGAACGTACTGAGAAAGAAGGGGTAAGACCATGCTCTCATATCTCAATGCCGAGTGAATATGGGCGAAATACTTTATTTATCTGCGGCATGGGGTGATGAAGCGGTTGCAACTCTTCGTGTCCCTGACCTTGGGGTGACTAGTACCGTTTCTATAGTATCTAGTATATCGGATGACCTTTAAAATGCTAAGTCGGGAGGGTACACGAAGACGCGAATTTGATCACTCAACTTTAGTTGCGCATCTTCACCTTTGTTGACGTCGGAGGTTCTGCTGTAGACGTTCACTCGGTGACAGAACATATGAGATTGAGATTTCCAGGGCTTTAGCTACCATAGCAGCTTATATATGCCCTAACATCAGCGTGTGATAGGTAGTAGGATGAAATTGCTGAAATAGACCGATGACCGCTCACGACAAGTCTCGTGGAGGTCACAATTGTGATAGCTCGCCGCAAACATAATCTTGAATCCTTGATCTGAAATTATGTAAACCAAATATAAGCTATCTAACACTGCTTCCATCACGGCAACTTCAAAGAAAAATACCATCCAGCCTACCACCAACTTGTTAATGCTCTTCCAACATCGCTAAAGACTTCCTCCGTCTTTCTGCCAAAGTCCTCCATCTCCCGCCCTACAGAGCTAACAGCCTCGTCGGCGAAGTTTCCAACATCCTTGACGATTTCACCGCCCGTCTCAATTATGTCTTCAACCCCTTTCTCGACAAAACTTTCAGCATCCGAAAAGACTTCTTCAGCCGCATGGGCAACATCGTCAACAGTCTCCTCCACTGCGCGAACACCATCGTTAAAGGTCTCCTCCACATCGTCCAGTAACTGCTCGCCAGCTCTGGTAGCTTCGTCGAAGATTTTCTTCCCACCTCGCGCGGCTTCCTCGGCGATCTCTTCGGCAGTGCTGGCTACCTCATCAAACCCTCGCTTGAGACCTTTACCAACATCGTCCACTGTCTCGCTGATGGCATCACCAGCAGCACCAAGTCCCTTGCTAATCAACTCCGCAGCTTCAACTGCTCCTTCTTCTAACATTTTTCCGGTCTTATCCAAAGTCTCGCCAAGTTCATTGAAGATCTTCGTGACATCGTCAAAGATGTCCTTTGTAGGCCGCTCAACCAATGTTGGCCGGGCACCAGTCCAATCAGCTGCAAATCCCTTCTTGCCGGCAAATTGTCTTGTCGCATCAACAGGATTGTTATCACCATGGTGGTGACCGTCGGCATTGGCATGAATGCCCTCTTTGCCCAGGTGGGCTCGAAGGGTGCTTTGTTGCGAAGGGGTACGCTCGTTCCACCAGCATTCAACAATTTCATACATTGTCCTCTGGATGAAAGTTTGCTCCGAAGAAGCAGCAAAGGCTGGGTGGTGAAGAATCTTCAGAATTGACTCGGTATTCTTGGCAACGATGGCATCGTCGTCAGAGTCCCAGCACTCGACAATTCTCTGGGTAGCCCAGTTTGTAGTCGCAGTGGCGACACGGCCGGCGACAGGGTTTAAGTAATTGCTGAAATGATCCTTGGCGAGAATCTAAAAGAGCAGACGGTATAAGCATTTGGTTGGAACCAGAAAATTTGAATTTGACAATACTTACCGAGTGACTGGGATCAGAATCTGTGGATCCAGGCGCGAAGATATTGACATAATTCTTATTCTGTCGATCAACTTCTTCAATCGTCTCCTTTCCGTCCTTGATAGCTTCCCGGACCCGTTGGATAGCAGGTTCGATGAGAATAGCAAGTGCAGAATAGACCAGCTTGTCAATGAGCTCGCCGACCTTGTCCAGGGTCTTCGTAATAAGGCTAATCTGGGGGTGTTCCTTGCTCTCGATCAAGAATCTCTTGATCTTTCCTTGGAATGAAAAGATGGGCTCGATGGCAGTCCAGATATCGTTGGTGTCAATGTCGATTGCGTCTTTGCCCGAGTTGTCACTTTCAGCCGATTGAACCGTCTTGAGAATCGTCTGAAGGTCGGTCTTCAGGCTTCCTCCGCCTGGGATTAGCATGACGACGTATTGCAAAGCGCTGGCTATTCCCGCAGCCACTTCGCTAAAGTTTGGGGCAGCGGCTAGGATCTAGCTCGAAATTGAGTCAGCTGAAGTCGGGAGGGGGAAAGAGACTGAATTTACATTGTCTAATGCATCCAATTCGCCTTCACTCTTCATCGCAGCTTTATCATCAAGCTCTCCTATAATACTTTGGAAAACATCAAGCGACCCGAAAGTTCCCGTAACAAGGGGCGCAACCTCTTGGGTGGTGCTCGGGATGGTGATCCTGGACTTGTTGCCAACGCAGGCAAATATGTCTTTCTCTCCGATGCAATGCAAAACAAGCTCCACATAGTTGCTATGCGCCGAGAAATCCTCTAGAGTATGGAGGAGTGCACCTAAGCAAATGAGAGCTTCGTGGCGCCGCGACTCATTGCCATCGCGACGAGCGATACGTCCATGGTTGACGCACTCCTGGATTTTGCGTCGGATGTAGCTCGCTGAGGTGTTGATTCCTATGGTTTCATTTGCAATATAGTTCTTCATTCCTGTCTTGGCATCAATTTCGAGCTCTTGATCTAAGTCAGCTAAAAGAGTATGAAAATTATACGGCATGATGCCTCACCCTTTGGAAGAACCTCCCGACGTAGGCGCGGGTCCAGGTTGTCTATAGTGGCATCGTTCAGATATTTTCCCTGCTTATTTTCGGCGTAACCCTAGAATGAGTTAGTTAAAAATTATTGGAGAGACATGTGTGTGGTATATCTTCTTGCCCTTGGGTTATCTGAGTCGGATGTGTTAGCATGGAGAGTTAACATTAAGAGGTGATATGCACAAACCGATATGTTCCTCCGGACGGTAGCAACCAAGCCGGTCTTTGGTAACGTCAAACTCTTCAGTTGCGAGGCCAAAAGCCATGAAGCCAAGCACAGAGACCTGTTGCAATTGTGAGTTAAGCCATGAAGCGAAGAAGTGTGCAATGTATACACACAATTGCCCTTAAAGCTGGTTCCTTAGCCTTTCCAAGAGGCATGATATCAATGACTTGACTATAGTCTCTGAGCCAGTTGCCAAAGTAAACTCGGAGAATGTCCAGGTCGGTAAAGCCATATTTGGTTAGGAAGCTAATTGGTAGAAGCTTCAAGACATCTCCAATGTCGCCATGCTTCCAGACGCTGGTGTTCATGCTCAAATTATCGGGAACATTGCCAGCTCCGAATGCATGGGTAGGTTTGCAAAGAAAAGCAAGTACAATAAAGAAGGCAATCATGCCAGAAAATGTGTGAAGACTCGAAGTCATTGTGGCAAGATGTTTCCGCTAGGAACAGCTCGAAAATAATATTGAGGACTTGTCAGTGTGGTGAAAGCTGATCATGTTGGAAGGAGCAGAGGGACCGATATTTATGTTCTTCCTGGAGAGGCCCGGTCTCCATCCAGATATCCGCATGCATACAATATCACACGCCATGCTGTCGCTTCCGGCTCAAAGGTTTACGCAATCAGTGTCGATGGTGAAGCTATCGAGTTCCTACGGGACACTATTAATCGTAGCAGGCGGGCGGGGGGCCGGATTCGACCAAATTTCAGCCATTTTTGGAGTTCTGGGGATCAATAGTCTGCCCTATTTGGGTAGTCCTCAGCTTCTTCAATGCAATTCTAGATCGATCTGGGCGCACGGGATGCTCAGATGAGTTAGGGCTCAGGTACATTGAACTGTTCGGCAGTGGCTGAATCAAGCCTGCAGGTCTAGCCCCTAGCGGGCTGACGCCTCGCTCCCGTCTTCGGCCCCACGGCCCTAACAAAACCAAAATCTAGATCACAGCTAGTTCCCGGAACTAGTCCAAGCTAGTCGTTCAGCACCGCGCGCGATGAGCTCCATTCCAGTCACAAACGCGACTTTGCACTATTCTGCATGAGTTCGTGCTAGAAGCGGCAGTTGTTAATCGTTCGAGATTAAGCCTGGAGATGAGCCTTGGAAGGAGCCCGGGGCAAGTCAGGACAAATTGCGCTAGCCAAAAACAGCTCTCAACCCTGGAACAGGCTCCTGAGGTGCCCGAGGACCCTGAACCCTGGGGACAAAGCAGATTCGCCTACATATAGGCCTCTAGATATGAAGTATACCAGCCGGCGGTGGTCAACCTCGACCTTCTGGCCAGCTAATTCTTATTCCTTCATGGTAGACGCATTAGTTGTCCCCGTAATGTCATTCACACAGGATCATCGAATGGTCAAGGTAATCACTTGTAATTCATCAAGACTGTGGCCTGGGGAATTATATATTTCTCGTGTTAGCAAAAGAGAAGAACTATATACCAATTTCTCAAGATTAAAATTCAACAAGAGGTAAGAGTTCGATGCAACAAGGCTCTAGTCAGCTTCTCTTGGATGCAATCGATACTCTACCTGCCCACCCTATGTCCGCTCACACCAGAGGCTATGGATCAATGATACGGTTAATTTATAGCTCAATAGTTCATGCAACAGTTCTCAGGTGTCAATATTATATAGTGGCGTGTAGAAAGCTATAGTTGGGATCTCTATATGCATCATCTAGAGGCCAGACAGACCCATGACCACTCTTACAGTAGCTGGCAAAGCAGTGCCCTAACCCGGGATGCTATATATATGATATCCAAAATTAGGCACTGTGATATTTCTAAATCATTAAAATATTGATCAAACATGTTTCTCCTATGATTTGTATGGGCAAAGTACTGTAAGAGATTCATGCGCGATGGCCGTCATCGTTTCTAAGAGATTCCCAGGCTTCACAGTCCGGTGTGACTAAATTGAGAAACCCCGTAAGGGTGCAATTGGCAGTGTGACAAAGAAGTTTACCGACATTGGGCTACCACCTATACGCTACGTTGTAGGAGGTCACAGACCCCACAGCGAAATATAATATTATACAAGTCCTTCTCAAGTGGCATAGATAAGTACAACAATGACCATAACTCAGAAAATAAGGTCTGTAATCACTTTGTGTAGATGTCTTTCAAATTCTATTGTAAGTTTTACATTTTTATTATCTGACCTTCAACGTGGACTGCTGAGATCATGTCATGAGAATCAAGATCATAGGACACTCTCAGACATCTGAGGCTCAGGTATTCACAAGGAACGCGGCGGCTATCGTGGTCAATCTCTCTGACATGACGTAAGAGTGATACGGGAATTTTATGTTGATATACTTGGCCTTGGTGCCTTTGCTGCTAATATCGTTGAGCCATTAGCTACATACTATTTGGCCACGTCAAAACCAGCATTTCGTACATGGAGCCAAAGCGATAGAGACACCCGGAACTACGGGATTCGCAGAACGTCTAGGCTTAAATGAATGACCCGTAGAATCTTAACGAAACACCGAGGAGATGACTTTAGCCAAAAAGAGACGGAGGAGTAAGATTAACTCGGGCTCATGTGAGCGGCGGTTGTGTTTCACAGTCGACGAAATGACAACAATGGAGGAGAACATGGGGGTATTACCGTCCCTAGTCGTAGATATAAATATTATATCGAGATATTAGTCAAAAGACTCCTCACTATTGACGTCCGATACGTCTAATATTCGCGATGTCGGGACTGTTTTACATAATGAATAGGAGTTCAGCACGGCTTTCGTCTTATCTACTGACTAGTCTGATCAAAGAAAGAGAGTCAGTGGCAAAATGCTCACAAGACTGGGAGAAAGTCCCTAGATAGAACGAGCGGTTGTCAATCATCTCATAGCTGTGTATATGACAGGAAACAAGATCGGATACGACCTTAGACGTTGGATGAGACACCTCGAACATTGGCTCAATATCAATGCTCTGCGAAGTAGTAGATCATGAGACCGGAATCGAGACAATGAACGGTCATAAATGAGGCTCTATCGCGGTTGCAACATGTTACATCTCTAGCGATCTCGCCGTTATCTAAATGCTCTTTGAAAAAGAGCTTTTAGTAGACGCCTACCGGCGGGGTCGATAGGGGGGCTCGATGATGATCACTTCTAGGATTGGACCAAACGTCTCAGCTGACCATTGATCCGTAATATCAGCTTGCCATCTATCGGAGCCTTGATTGCTCCATTGTGGAAATAGGGCCGGATCAAGGGCTCAATTCAAGCCAGAGAGAAACCACTCGCCGGATTGCCGGGACCAAAGATGCGGATAAAGCGGCGTGAGTATCTATGTTGAGTCGAGCGTGCGAATTTCGTCATTGTTGAGCCTCCTGCAATGGGTCGGGTTGCCATCGGTTCGGTCAAGCGCCAGCATGACCTGCGAGGCGAGTCTAGACCGCGGATGACGCAAAAGTCATCCGAGGCGGCATCACTTCACGATAACTTCAGGCTGCCTCGTCCGGCATGTATCCTGTAGGTATCCCGCGACGCGCCGTAATAACCTGCCAAATGGGAACCACCGAGATTGTCAGCGCCACTGACGTAGGTGTAGGAAAGCAAGCTGAAGTGTCAACACGCAATGATTTATTGAGACCTTCATCGTCTGTCGAGTGTATCGTGCCTCTATGATTAGGCTGGTCTTGATCTCTCAATCTCATGAATTAATATTGCTTTCGAAGATGGTTGGCGGTCAGTGAACTTGTTTGTATTACGCGCATAATGGTACTCCATGTGCCCGTGCAAGGGTCCTTGGGGTCTCAGGGTCCACGCGAGTAACCTAGGCGCAGCTTATATTAGGGGTAGCATGCCACCAATTAGCCACCACTTCAGCGTGAGCGTTGCATGCATGCCCTGTCTGTAAGGCTTGAGATCTCTGAGGGATGACATCACACCAACGCCGCCAAGATCACCTCTACACTGATTCACATCGTCTTCTTGTACTAGAACTACAGAGACCATTGAGCGATAATCAACTGCCAGCTCACTAGATGCGCTCGCAATAATAGAATATCAGGCCATTGAGGCGGGTTGGGGCGTTTTCTTTGCGCCGCTGGGCCTGAAGTGGTATCTTGATCGTAGATCGCGCTAGGCAGAAGGAGATGGCGGCAAGCAAGGCCTCGTGGGAACACGGAAAGGCTGATGAACTGGCCGGAGAACGGACAGCTATCCCGAGATACGCTGGCATTATAATGCCTACGTGCTCATACTGTATCTAGGCGGGAGGTGAATCATTACCTACTATCAGAAAGCCTTTGGGGGCTGCATGCACGCACTTGTATGGAGTGCTGCCGGCCTAACTCGAGTGCTCTTCGATTATGGAGCCCCCCACGCTGGCACATTTCCCTTGCGATGTCACTCTCGAAGTCACAAGACCCTCAGCCGTTGACTTTTTCAGTCTCTCCCTACGGAAGCGCGCGAAAAGTTTTCGTGGTATATGCAGATCACAAATAATGATATTGCGAGATCCTTGACGCTCAAGGCTTGGCCCTTCGAAAAGCCATCGTTCGATGGTGGTGCCATTTCCTCGAACCCCAATACGCCATGGCTGTCAGAACCAAGCTTTTGGGACTGCCACAAGGACCAATTCACCAATCCACGCTTGCAATCCGAACCAAAAGCCGCCCGCGATGTGGATCTGCACAGTAGCCCTTGACGCCTTCTCCCCTCCGTTTCTTTTGCTCGTTTGGACCGTTACACGACGCCTTCAAAGATGATGCCTCTTAGTAGCTAGGGCATGATGATATGAACCTATTGGACCGAGACCGAGACGGCCTGAAGCACAGAATCCCGGTCAGTGCTTGGACCCGATGAACCGGACAAACTCATAAGGCAGAAAGACTTAGACGCATTTTCTGCTAATATCGGAAGAAGAGCAAGTTCTCCAGGCTATCCCCGAGCTCCCCCATCCCTTGGAGAGCAGGACTCTATGCTTCGCGGACTGGGAGAGCAGGCCATCGAGGCCCTCCTTGTTCATAAATTGGGTCGACTGTCCCGCTTGGTCTGTCTACGGAGGTTCTCGCGATCTCGTTGCTATGCAGCACCAGTGCAGAGCCGTGCACTAGCGAATTTCATTCCCAAGTATTCCAAGGCTTGTTGAGTTCCCCCTATTCATTTGGTTAAATTCCAATCATCTACATTGGCCTCATATCGAAGGAAGGAAGGCTTCTACGTATCCTGGATTAAGAACCGTCGCGGCTGGCTAACGGAAGCCCCGCTCTTATCCGCCATCCTCCACCCGAACCGGGCAGTTGTTCCCCCTGGAACCGGGACGCATCGGCCACAGCTTATCTGGATCCAGGCGGTTGGGACACTCAAACCGAGGCGTCGTAACCGTCAAAGGATGGCGGCTGCATCAACCACCTGTGGAATGCATAATCTCAAGTTTGAGTATGAAAGCGGTTCCTATGTCATATCAT